GCATATACAATTGAATGAATCATTAATTTTTATGACAGCCCCCGTTGACTTTAATTGAAGCGATTCTAGTTTTTTTTTTTTTTTTTTTCTATGCACTTATTAATGTTTCGACAAATTCAATTTTAACGTCGATTAGAAACAATAATTACTCGACAATCAGTAAGAATTTGAATCGCAATATCTTTCTCTTCTCTCAAAAAATCATTTGTATCTTTTGTGTAATCAGATCAACAAGTTGTGTTTTTTTGATTCACTAATAATACGCGATGCGCTAAATAAACAATTCGAGTTTTAGTAAAAACGATAAAATCACAATACCACACGTCGAGCTTGTACAAACAAAAATAAAAATCAACATTTTACATAAAAAATTTTCTGTTTCAATTTTTATATAAACATAAAGCGTGTTCTTTTTTTTTTTGTTTTTATTTCGTTGGAAGAACATGTGTGACGCACATTCCTTTTTCCGTATATGTTAAAAGCGAGCGGTAACAATATTATCACAGTGTTTTCGAACGTGTGTTACATAAAGATGTATGTTTTATGTAAGAATAGATGGACTTTTCGTGCTCCCTCGCAATCAAGAGAGTCAAACATTCAACATAATATTTAAACACCGATATAAATGCGGTTCGATGTTACGCGCGCGATTGATAAGCTACCGCGTAAAAACTAAAAAGCCTTAATTGAGCTCCGCAGCAATTGGCCAATACGCCGTCATCTAAACCGCGTGCTCCGCGGGGTACATCGTGGTCGATTGCATCAACCGCGACCTTTTACCGCCTCACCAGTAGAGCGCGGAGATAATTGTACAGACGGGGAGATCCACGTTCGGAATCGGACCGGCCTCGATCCCAGATGTCCCGCGTTCGGGAAGGGGTGAAGAAGAGGGGGGCTCGAATAAAATTCATCTGAAAAATCGTCCGAATGTCGGAAAAAATCCAACGATTTATTCAAATCCTCTTGCCAGCCAGCTCGGAATTTTCTCGTCCAATTTTATATTCGGAAACGTTTGATAATTGAATCGCAACTTTACTTCTCGCGCCAATCAGGTGACGCGCGGTTAAAAAAAAGCGTTATTTCTTAGTTATTCAAAAGCGCACTTGTTTATTTCCAGACTGTACTTATACCCGCGCAATTTCTCACAGTCGTTTGAAAAAAAAGACTAGGTCAATGCGTAACGCGAGCGAGCGGTCAGTATATTCGCATTTGTTTCAAAAGAAATAAATAAATCCCGACCTTCTTGAGCAAGCGAGTTTCCAAATCAGTTTGCCGGACGAACTCAGATTAAATATCGATCCTAATTGCTTTTGATTTTCACTCTCCCGAAGCTGCTACCGAAGGTTGGCAAAAAGAAAGAGAATGTACGCGCGCGCATCTTACCGAGCTCGATCGACGTCGCCGCACTTATTCCCGACAAGTAGACATTACGTGGTTACATCCACTTAACACGACACGTAGATTATATTCTTTATATCCGAAAATAATTTAGAACTTTGTTATATTATTTCTATTATTCAAATACGATTGTGTTAAAATTGATATTCGACAAGTTTTTTGATAACAATTTCTTAGTTGCAAAAACGCAGTCAAACACATGGGAAAATAAAAATTAATTAGTTTTAACACTTTATCGGCTTTTTTTTTTTTAAATAAAAGCCAAGAATTAAATTCTTTTTATCGTGGCAGAGAAAATACGATTCGGCGCGACGCGAAGTCACGCGTCTTTATCTTCTTTGTTGAAAGTAAATACATGTTATAATTTTAAGTACTTCTTTGTTTTTGTTTTTTTTTTTTTTCGATAGCGATTAATAGACTAACGATATTTTAGCTCTATGCTTGATACACAAAAGAGAGTTGTGCGTATAGAGAATATTCTCTTTTCTGCGTGTCTGTCGCGCAAGGAACTAACTTGTAATCTCCTCGCAGCCGTGATATTCGCGTGTGTTCACACGGTGGTAGCATCCATTACGTGAAATTGCTATGCTGAATACTGACACTCATTACTTCATATTTCGATCTCGCATACTATACTTGCATTCGATGCACGTCTCTTGAAGCGTTATTTTAAAGTTTCAAGCGAATGCACTTACCGCTGTCAGAACGCATCTTTGTCTTAATAGATTTTTCTAGATAATCTCTCGATGCAGGTTACTTAATAAAAAAAAAACTTTACGTTAACGTATATGCGCGCGCGTTTACTTTAGAGTAAAAAAAAATAAATATATTATTATTATTTACCATTGTGAGTATATTAGACTATATATTTTCTATAATAAAATTGTTTATAATTTTTGATAAAAAGAAAGAAACGTTTGATAAGTTCGCGGAAGAAGAATTGAAAATGGTGTCTGTATAAGATTCTGTACAGTTTTTTTTTTAAATACATCTCTTGTGCGCGCGCGCGCGCGTATGTGTGTGTGTGTGAACAAATATAATATTCAGATTTAAATCCCAATTGCGAAATTGGAGACGGTTTTATTTGCGTTTTACGGAAAAAGCAGATGTTCAAGCGAAGGAGGAGCAACGATCTTCTTCCTGCCTCTTGTAACAACTCTTCTTCCCCGATACCGATCTCCGGACATTAATTTGAATATGTTGCGTCGAGAGAAGCGGCGAATCGGTCTCGGTCTTGCCGAGAGGGCGGATGTCCTTTCGTATTGTGGCAGAAATTGCGTCACAGGATACTTAAGCACTCTTGAATTCGAAAGACTCTACACGGCCACGTCACGTTAGTCAACATTTATACATGCTTTTCCCTCATATATTGATTTACACACTCATGAATATCTATTTTTATATCTACAACATAAATTATTTCTCTTTTTATGCATTTTTCTTTTTTTTTTTTTCAATTCAAAAGGAAAACCAGTTTTAAGTTTTCAATTGGTTTTCCATAATAACAATGTGCTTTTTTTCTCGCACGAGCTTCGCGATTTATTGGCTTCTGACAGCAGCCCGCGAAGCGATGAAGCGTAACGCGAAAAAGTGTCGTCCTTGCAAAGTAATTTTGTAACGTGATAGAACATTCTGCATCCTGTTCTTTCACGATGATCTGGCTATTAAGCATATATGCCTTTGTAAGAAATATTAATCAGCAATTTACAAGTGACCTTCGACCCGCCGTGTAATTCTCTCATCGCGAAGCGCATGTTCGTTCTCCATCTCTCGTTTTCTTCGTTAGATCGATTAAAATATTGCACTAATCATTCTCCCAGACGTTTTACGACGTGTTACGGAAATCGTCTCCCGACGCCATTAAAATCTCTATTAATTGCGCAATGTAGAGACACGTTAATTCATATTTAAACGGCGCGTATCCAGAGAGAATCGCGAGAGCGCCCTTTAAACGTGTGTATTTATGAACGTAACCACACACGATGTCGGTGTGCGAACGACGAGAAGAAGAAACGGAGAAGAGGATCTTCTCTTTTTGAAGTTGTTTGCGCAATAATATCAATTGTCGAATCGACCTTGAAACAAAGTTACGTTTCTGACTTGGGTGAGAGAATTTCCGGAAACGCGAGCGCGGGAACAGATATCCTTGCCAAGGACGCAGTTGGACTCGTCAATTAAAATGTCAAAAGAGAAGAAGAAACTTATTTGACTATTTTTATTATTTTATTATTTGTTTTTTTTTTTATATGAACGGTGTCAAAATTAATATATATATATATATAATGTTATTATACTAATAAAATGAACAATAATTTATAATAATATCTCAATAGTTGCAATATATAGATTTTAAATTAAGGTTATGCATATCCTATGATTAGCGCGTATAAAAAACATTTTCTCTTTTCATGAGAATTATCGTATTAATTTTTTTCGCAACCAGCGAATTTTATTAATTTCCATCACGCGATTTTTCTGCATAATTATTGTAAATAATTTTAAAGCGAAAAAAACAGCGTAGTATAAAAAGAGGAACGTTTGACAGGTAAAACATAGGTAAACAAAACCCTGTATATTTATTCACATACACTGTACAAAGGTATATTACATAAAATCGGTACAACTACACGCTAAAAATATATATATATATACGTATGTATACATATATTCATCGCGTACTTAAATAATGACCTAGAAACCCCGTTTGGACGTTTCGGGATCGCAGCGGAAGCGCGTCGCCGACCTCGAACTGTCTAAACGAAAGGGAATGTTACCAACACCGTAATTTCAATGATACAAGTAAGTAGCTGCTGTTGCTGCTGCTGCTATTATTTGTTTTAGCCAGTACGCAGGAATCGCAATATAGAGAAGATGAAATAAATAATTTAGCGGATCCGACAGAAAGCTGCGCGAATCCAATTCGGAAGTCTTTTTCGTAATACTGAACGTGTATAATATATATGTATGATACAACACAGTTTTCACGGCAGTTTCGGGGTTTTGTTGGAAGAAGTTTATATTTGTGACGTAACTCGGCGTGAATATCAATTTGATGCCGCTCTGGGGGGAATATTAATACACAAGCCATGGGAATTAACCCGAATCTCTCGCAAGAGAGTAAGAAAATGATTTCATTGAAAAGGCGGATTCGCGAGAGTGGAGGGAGAAAGGGTGGAATTGTGTCACGTAGAGAGTTTAACCGGTACAAATAACCACAAAGCGTACGTTGCAATATACCACGTGCCGTCACATTCCGCCAATTTCGCGTGCAATTCAAAGACGAGTTGCAAATACAGAGGATGTGCTTGGCGAAAATTACGAGATAGGAGCGAATCGTATAAAATGCTTTTACCCTTTTATGTCGGCATGCAGAACAATCGCGATTTTACACTGAGTATGCTCATGTTTCTCTGATTACAATTCGCAATCGATAGCCTTGTATATATATATATACTATATATATATCTCTTTCTCTGATGTGTATGAGCACTTAAAATAGATTTCTCTCTCTCTCTCTCTCTCGCGCGCGCGCGCACTCCAAATACAATAAAATATATATCAAGATTTATTTGTTTTTTTTAAAGAGACTTTTCACGAAAAATTTTAACAATATATATTTTTTTATATAACAATAAAATAATTTTTTTTCAATAAATACTGAACACACGGAGTAATTGTGTGATTGCGATTAATCGCGCGCGCGAAAACTTATTTTAAGAAATTACATTTCGTGTATTGTATGTGTGAGAAAAGTATTTTAAAAAGTTGTTATATTGCACGTTAAAATATATAAGTTTTATTACTGCACATTAAAATAAAACGTTATTAAAAGAGAATGACAGAATTATTAAACGAAAAATATTCATACACAGCATTCACGCAAAGCGTCACCGAACAGAAAGGACGAAATATGGCAGGCCTTTTTTTTCGCAAATAACATTTGCCGATGTTTCGATGAGGCGATCGGTAATTATTTTATTCTTAATAAAGAAGGACGGCGAGCACAATACATAATATAATCTTATCCTCGGACTTAAAGCCGGTTAATTGTTATATTGCGATGTTTTGTCGACCGATGATCGATCGGGACTCCGCATATTAACCGACACGAGTTACGCTCGGTCGCGGATACCAAGCACAGCCGAGATGCTCGAATTACAAATCTGAAACTGGTTGCGCTGTATATATGACGATGACCTACTTAGTATCCGCGAGCGCAGGTGTCAATCTCGATCCTAAGTTAAATCGAACTCTTTATAGTTAACGTTAATTATCGATTGCAGAAGACCCCTTCTCAAAATCGAAATTATTAGCGCAAATCCCCACATTTTTTCAACAAAATGTTAAAATAAGAATTTCGTTTCCCCTAAAAATAAATAGCAGAGAGCGGGACAATTATCCGCTCCGTTATCGAACCTTAAAATCATATTCAAGAAAGTGCAACGCAATCGTGTTTTTCTTTCTCAAAGAAGATCAGATTTTGTTTCGTCGCTCTGCGTCGATTTGTCGGACCGAGATCAAAACCGAATCGAGTTCAAAGTTCGACACCCAAGAAATTTAGGCTAAATCGGAATGATGACGAGTGACAGAGGAACGATCTATCTAAACTAATCTTCGACGAATCAACAGATGTGTACGTCTTCTAGCGCTCCAGCGAGATCTTCATCTCGCGAGTCTTGCGGACGTGCGCGTAGTTCCGATCGGTCGTCGATTGTCGGGCTCCTCAGCCCCACTTAGCGGCTATCGTGTAGAGCGATCTGAGAAGCTCGAGAGCTCGGTTGTCGGACGCCGTGTTCTCATCTTCCGATAAAGAATTGTTCGTGTCCGGGACAACGTCGTCCGATCTTCGGGCGAAACTGTTTGCGGCACTCTCGGTCGTTGTCCGGAACCTTCGCCCTGTTCTGCTACGAAACGTCGTGATGGACGGATGAGACGGTGTAGGTCTCACCGACGATCCTCGAGAAGCCTTCGTAGGAGATGCCGTCGTCGAGCTCGATAAAGCAGCTACTCGTGTTTTGCCTGTAAACGCGCGCGATATACAGAAACATAATAATTTATCTCTTTACGTATTTATATTTATTTATATTATGTTAATATATTAACGGCTTTTATTACGCGCATAGATTGCCTGCTCGGTAGAGCAGACAGGATTATATATACCGAAATTTCGTGATTGATTATATTTCGGAGGTATTGTATGGCAACTCGAACGCGGTTGAAATTAATTGCCGAAGATATTAAATACACCTATTATCTCCTCACTATTCAATACTCATACAATTAAATTCTATACGGTTATCATGATTTCAAAAGGGAATCAATTAAATTAATATTTAAATTAAAATTAGATTAAAAGCTATTTTTTTTTTTTTTTTATAATTGTGTGAATATTGTTGTTACAAATATAATTTAACGTACCGGTAGGAAGATTGACTCTATTAATACTGGCGACAATTTCCCTCGATTCCTCGGAACTGAACTCGTTAACGGGCATTCTTAGAAGAGCTTCCAACAACTGCTCTCTTTCCTGCTCCATTGTTTTATTTCTGGGTCCGTTGCAATGGCTGATCAGTAGCAATACCAATTGCCTCACCGTCTCGTTGCTATCGGCTTGCTTCATCACGCGCATCAGCGTGTTGGTGCTCGTCTCGTTTAATTTACCAAACATCTCATGCGCCTTGATTATCTCATTTTCGGTGGTATTCAGCATATTGTCTGAGGTCGCTGCAAACGGCAACAAGGTGGACAGATTGTCCCGAAGAGTATTAGTTGACGTCACCGAGGAAGTGATCGTGGTCGTTATGCTTGATCGCGTCGTGATAATCGGAGTCGGTGTAGCCGTGTTCTCCGCGGACGAGAACGTGGTTGGTAGAAGAGTGAACGCCACCGGTGAATCATTAGTGTTTGGTGCCCACTGCCAAGGACTCGGCGTACTGGTGGTGGTAACTTGATCTTCCGTCGCCTCGTCCAGATCGTTGGTTGACAATGTTGGCGATCTCGCAGTGGTTGCCGTCGCGGATTCCGATTCCTCTCTCACGTTGGCCTCCGTAATTGGTGTGCTGACGCTGTCGTCGCTCGATTCCAGACCGTGATTAATATGCCGAGGATCCACGAACACCGTCGTCTCCCAGAGTTGAGTGACCATGGGCGAAGATGTCCAGTGATCGTTGCCCAGCAAGTTGGATTGTCTGCCGGACGTGGTGGTCGGTTGGTTGCTGGAGGTGGCGCGCGCAACGGTGGCGGTATACGGAGTGACATCGCCGTTGGTAACGGTTGCGGTGATAGGATCCAGAGTTCCAACTGTGTCCCGAGTCGTCGACGTTGTTACCTCTCCTGCGGGCTTGCGAGTATTCTCTTCTCGATTTGCCTCGGCGTGATTGTAACTATTTCTGTATTTGACATACGAACTGCGAGCCGTGACGAGAGACTCGGGACTGGTCTTTCGTTCAGGCACCGTTGTCGTCGTGTCGTAGTAACGTATTCTGAAAGGTTGAACAGTGCTGCTGATCGTTTCGTAGCTATTAGATTTGCTCCTCGACAAAGGTGTCGTCGATCTCAACGCCTGACTCGGTACGATGCTGTTTGACACCTCGAAGCTTCTCACGTTACCGAAACGTTGATAATGAGGTGGTGTTAGATTTTGTACAGGTCTGTCACCGGCGGAACCTCTGCCCCAAACGGTATTCGAGGTCGTTCCTACGGAATGCTGAAAAGACGCCGGTGTCGATGACGCCACGTAGTTGGTTATGGGAGTAGCGTCGGGCGGTTTCACATTCTTGCCGTATGGTTGGAATGTTCTCGCGGTGTTATTGTGAAAGTCACTGATCTTATTTCGATTCCCGTCCTCGTCTGTTGGGAAGAAATTGTCGTAAACTGGCGACAGATCGGTGGAATCTCTCGTATCGCTTTCGTAATTCTGAATGTCGTTTGCCGTGGTGGTGAAAGCGCGATTCACTTCGAAGGCAAAGGTGTTGCCGCCCTGCGTCGACAATTCCTCTCCCGAATCGTACGATGAAGTGCTTGGCGGTAATAACGTCGAACTTGGGAAATATATCGGTCTTCGGGTCTGGCCCGCGGTAGTCGAGTAGTATTCGTCGTACGTGGTTGTGTAATAAGATCTGTCAGAAGTAGTGGGTGGCTGCAAAGTGGTCGGAAATAGGGTGGACGGTTTGCGTCTCCTGGAAACGTCGGAGTCGTCCGAGAAATCTAAAACCTCATCCTTCTCTTTGGTCACCGACGAGTATTCCTCAGCAGTGGTCGAATATGATGTTGTAGTTTCGAATTCACCGCTTTCGGTTGTTGTTATCGGCGGTTCGGTAGGTCTGATCTCCGTCAACACCTTCTTGAAGGTGTCCGGATCCTGCAAGTACGCCGAAAGCGCGTGAGTGAAAACCTGCGCCAGTTCGCGCAGTTTGGTGCTGTTCGATCTCTTCGCGCCGTTCAGCGGACCTTCGCTTTGTTCGATATCGAGATCATCGTCGATCTCACTCCCAACATCGTCAGTTTCCGCAACGAGTTCGGTCATCGTGGCGTTACCTTCAAGCGCATTGTTTAGATTGAACAGATCGGCGTACGATGTAATAGTGTGTTGTGTGAGAATACTAGTCGGTAACTGGATGACAGATGAGTTCAGCAGGGAACCACCTTCTCTACTCTCGACTTCGCGATTCTCGACGCTCGCGTTTGACTCGGCGGTTTCGTTGGACTCGAAGTTGTCGCTTGCTGTGGCAAAGTACAAAGCCAACGAATGCAAAGTGGACGGACCAGGCGCGAAAAGATGATTTCTATTAGATACGTCTTTCTTGTCGGAATCAGTCAGACTGTTCGGGCTGTTCCCTAGACCCTGAAGAGAATGCAGCATGCTGAGCGCATGTTCTCGTTCGCTGTACGGTCTATCGTCCAATGTTGTCGGTCGTTTACTACTAGCTTCAGGTAGATAAGTCGCTCTGTCTTTGGGTCTGCTCGTGACTGGGACGCTTGTCGACTTAACTTTGGGTATCAAGCTGCTCGCCGTTATACGATAATTCGCAGTAGGAGTATAAGACGGCACGGTGGACGGTGACTTCGGTGTCGGAGTGGTGGTCATTGTGGAATACACGTAGTTCTTGGTAAAAGGAACGTAAGGACCCAAGGTAGACAACACTTTTCCTTGTTTGTAAGTAAAACTGGTGTCGTAAGGACTCAAAGTCTCTCTTGTGGAAGTTGGCTGATAAGCACTGGTGCTTCTCCATGGTTTCTCCGTCGAACTGATAGAGTTCTGCCTGATAGTTTGCGAGGAAGCGCGCCAGGGATCCTTCGTAGTGTCTTTAACTTCGATATTCGACACGCTGTTTTCTTTCTGATAACTAGCACGAGTCGAACTACTTTGACCGGCAACCGATTGGCTGCGAGAGTCCTCGAAGAAGGGCGTCGATGAAGAGAACGTGTCTTGGCGGATGGTCGACGTCGTGTTGGCCGTATTGTGCCGATAATTCTCGGTGTTTACGTAAGGACGTGTGGTCGCAAAAGACCCGATATCTCGATTGACGTCTCTCTGATCGGTCACCTTCTTATCGAGATATTGCTGATAATTCGTGGGTGCTGGAGGTACTCTTCCTATCGCGGGAGGAGTGTGGAAATCGCTGTGCGCGGCAAAGAACTCGGTGGTGGTTGTATAGTCCTCAGCGGAAGACGACGTCACGGTTGTGGTGTCGGCGGCATTGGTATACGTGGTTTCCGGAACATCGTCTTGTCTGTAATAAGACGTACTGTAGAATGACGTTTCGGTGGTCGGTGTGTACTGCAACGTCGTTTCGTAAGGCGGCAGCGTCGTCGTCCTGGGCTTGTAGATGGGAGAGAACGTAGGCCCGGGGAACGACGGAGCGCCCGTTTTTGGCGTGAAAGACACCGTTTCGGTCTCGCTCTTCTCCGGTGTCAGGGTAGTCGACTCGCGACTGTTGTAATCCGCTGTTGTCGAGTGTTCTCGGTGATCGTACGAGTGATAATAGAATTGTCGCGCGCCGTCAAATTTACCCGCATTGAAACGATTTCCTCGATTCGACACGAACGCAGCGCTCTCCGCGAACTGTTGATACTCTTTCGGAGGCGCGGAAGTTGTGGTTCTGAAGGTCGTCGTTTCCATATAAGTTGGCGTAGCTTTCTGGCCCACCGACTGATTGCTACCAAAAAGATTGTTTCGCGACGAGGTTCGCGACTTGGTGTTTCTGAGTTCCGGCTTCTCGTTGTTGTTGTTGCGCGACGACGTGTTCTGACTCGATCGGAAATGAGTCTGTTGATAGTTCTGCCGAGTGTCCTGGAACTTTCCGTGCTCGTACGTGAACTTACTGGTGCTCTGCGTGTCCACCAACTGATTTCTCTGCCTGCTCACGGCCTGATAATTCGATCCGTCGTGGTGATATTGTCGTTGTTTGTTGTTGTCAGTTGTCTGAATCGTTTTGTCACTGGTTCGCAACGCGTTCGCATTGTTCTCCTGGGAGTGACGAACGGAATCCCGAGCATTGTCGAAAACGTTATTCGATCCGAACTGCTGAGTGGAGGACTTCGGCTCCTCTTGTCGATCCGGAATTTGATTTTGACTGGCGGACTGGCCATACGGATTAGTTCGGCCGTTCTGTCTTCCGTCGTAATCGTTGTTCTGACTCTCGTAATAGTTCGCGTTATTATCCTGCTCCGCCGTACGATGATACTCGGACTGCATCTTGCGCGCTTCCGCGCGTTTCTTTTCCTCCTCGGCAAGTTGCTCCGCGCTTTGCTCGTACAACTCCGTCGACTTGCAGCAGTCAACTTTGAACCACCAATCGCATATAAGCTGCGACTGCTGAAAGATGGTGCCGTTGGGACACAGGAACGAGATCTTGCGGCCATTGTCGCAAATGTGAAATACCTGAAATAATAATCGTTGATAACACGTTGTTTGTTATTGAAGACAAGAAGATTCCGCAAAACTTCTGTAAACGCCATCCTTATCAATTTTCTCGTTACTGTAAAAAGTTTGTAAATTAAACTTTTTTAGATTTTAATTATAAATAGAGATTTGAAAATTTGAAAAAAACATCGCAATGTAATAGAAAATTTGCAATACAATATTGTAACACAAATTTTATTGCAAACAGATAAATCTTTGCTCTTCGAATTTCTTTTTGCTCTCTTTAAAATGTTTTTATTTAATCTCTTTTTTTTTTTTTTTTACTTTTACCACATTATATCTCTTACAGTGATCCAAATGCATCTCGTTGTACAATTTTTTTTTTGTGAAATACACGTAATATCAATGTCACCTACTTGGCAATTTGTCTCTAAATCCGCGTAATATCCACCTCTCAGACCGCGACAGCTGAATGAAGTGGCCGGAATCGATGTGAGGGCCGGATAATCCACCCCGGGCTGTCCTGTCACGCCTGAGCACGAAGCGGAATATTTTGTTAAATTTTATTAACGCTCGTGTTATATATCATCGCGAGAGACGCGCGCTCTCAGGAATATTTCCTCGCGCGCTCTCGCGACCGTAGTGTTTAATGTGTACGAATATTACGATATAATCGCTTAAGCTTTTACGAGCCATGCGAGAGATATGCCATCGACTTTTCCACATATATATATATATATATATATATACATGTATATGTGTACATATACATGCGGCGATTCGACGAGAACGATAACGCCGAAGACCGCAATATGAAACCGCCACATTGCGGCTCGCTTTAATGCGAAAGATGATAAATGAATGACAAATTAGTTGTCGATACATATACGCTCGTTGTTCGCGACTAATCGAACGATAAATACGTTATCGTTAAATCTAATTACATACGTAAAAATAATGCAACTTGCGTTCACAGAAGAAAAAGTTGAAGAAAAATAACGACGAATCGACTAAAATAGCAGCAGCGCACAGTCGTAGAAAGTCCTGTCACTATACAACGGAAAGTCACGAAGCATCGCGCGTCGCACAATCATCGTAAAACGAAAAATTGCACTTTCGTGGGAAAGCAGAAACGCAGTCCGATCGCCGCGAGATATTCGCACGCACTCAATGACTTTCGCTTACACGGAGCTTTACGTAATATCTGACAGTTTGGTAGGACGACGTTTGCTTGTGGAAGACAGTCGGATGCTCTCATTCTCTGTTTCTCTGTGTGTGTGTGTGTGTGTCTGACGGCCGAAACGATATCGCGCGCGACACGCGAATTCTCCTCTCTCAAGTTATCGAGAGAGAAGGTTTTGGTAAATTTGCAGTGAACATTTGCATAGATATAACCCGCGGAGACACAGATATATTTACGCAAATGTTACGTTACACGTCTGCTACCCGAGGGAGACAATTATATGCACATGCACAATGAAAATGTTACAATGCCATAGAAAAGATAACAAACATCGAAATGAAAAATCGCAACAAACAAGAAAGAATATATTGGTAAAACACAGACGTATTTATTCACAATCTTTTATCCATATTCACGATCTTTTTCCCGATCGTCTATTTGCAATTTCAATTTCGATGTTTAATTAAACAGCTTTTAATTTATTAAAAAGAAAAAAAACAGCTTTCTCTCGCGAGTTCTAAAAAAAATGTAGTTTTTATATATAAAACAGCTTTTACAAAAAGAGTTTTTTTTTCAAAATAGTTTATTCTATACGGAAAAGAGGCAATGCCGCGGAGAAAGGACGGCTACATCAAAGAAATGCAACATGCGGAGAAAGAGAGAGAGAGAGAGAAGCACGTTTTAAGTAATAATACCCGCTCCTTTGAGCCACTCCTTGAGAAGGTCCTCGTTACCGAAGAAGACTGTCAATGGAAGAAAAAAAAAAAGCGAGTCGGTTTAGTCAGATCGACAAGGGGGGAAAAAAAGAATTAAACAACGTAAGTCTCGGGGTTAGTAGGACAGAAGTTTCAGAAAGACAACCTTGGTAAACTTGGTACTCGCCGTTTTTCTCCGGTGCCAGCCTTTTCACGATTTTCTTGAGCGCTTCGACGTCTTCCTCGGATGCCTCGAGACTCGACAAGTCCAATTCCGTGAGGAACTCTGGTAGTCTCGGTCGCTCGACATCTCGCGATGCCTGCAACGTAATACGTTCTCAGAATGTGGAACTACTTTCGGAAAGCGCCTCTGTAAATGGCGAGCCTCCGCGGGGGAGGTCTTTTGGAAACGTACTTTCGGCACGCTACTTTCAAATTCAACTTCAAAATCGCGACTCAATTTGATTTAGTGCTTTTTCGGATCTCTTTCGTCTCTTCGCTCTTATCGTCTTCTTTGATTTGTAATTACAAATGCAATGCAATCTCTAATATACTTCGAACTTACAAAATATTGTCATTTTATTTTCATTCAAACTCGAGTCCGTTATTTGAAGATACGAGTTTCAAGTTATAAACTGATATATTTATTTCTGTCAAAGCATATTTTTTTGCATCATCCTGTTGTTGTTTTGTCAAAATATCAAACACACTCGGTATTTATTTCGTTTCAGAAAATTTATGACGGTCAAGCGGTCGATTATTGAGTTCGCGATATATTTTTTTTGTTTCGATCAAAATTTGAGCGAAAAACACGCTCAAATATAACGAGACGAAATTTTACACGTTGGCCATGGTTATTGGAAAATATGAAAATAGTGTTTCTAGCTCGCCGAACAAAATTAATTCCTCAGCTGGCCGCGTGAAAAGGATTTTCTTTTCGATTATTTCGTCGACTACGTGCGCGTGTATATAGTCAAGTGTTAATTATGTGGAAAATCAATTTATATATTCCCGCGTTTAAACGAGAGCGCAACGCGCGTATGCAGCATTGACTATTATCGATTTTGTGCGCGCGCGCGCGCGAGCCTACGCACGCACAAAATGCGAACGAATGCTCCTCTCGCCGTGCACACTGTGATGAAATTCGATACTGCAACACACATCCCGACGGGCACCGAAAGTTTGATTAAATTTCACTGGACTACGAGCGGTCGGCGGCGATCGCGCCGTTATACCTGCACACGCGTCGCGTGTAAATCACGACTAGCCGGTAAACGCGCATCCGGCCATGCGTTACCGAACATTGACCGTTTTGCGTCGCGTTTATTAGCTACGTTAAAACGGCGACTTCAAAGGGACTCTCACGAAAAAAAAAAAAAAAGAGAGTGCGTCGTAATTCCATTCTCGAGAGAGATTTTTCACGCGATCGCGGCGAACGAAAGAAGAATTTCGCGCGCGCTGTACTCGCGCGACCTTGTAATTAGACACGCGCGCACCGTAAATTAAAATCCGCGCGCGTTCACATCCATAAAGAGCGAGAGTAAGAAGAATCTCTCGTAATGTTCGTTCGTGGAAGAAAGAACTTGGCAACTTTACGCTTTATATCGGACGCGCAGTTGCCAGTATATATAGCGCGCGCGTTGCGCTTCGTCAGCATTCGATTTTCAAATCAAAATTGCCGCTCACGATCATCGTAAATCGTCGCAATAAACATCGCGCGCGCACGAATTGAAACTCGTGTGTGTGAGTTCGCGGAATTTCACGAAAGTTAAATTACATTATTTGAAATAAGGGCCGCGGAAGGACTTTAATTACTTAGTCGCTAATTAAGTTCGGCGTGCACGGAACCGTCTGATTGGAACCGCTCGGTCTTGAGATTAGCGCCAGCTTGAATATTTACGAGAACATCGTTAGAGAGAGAGAGAGAGAAAGAGAGACCGGTCTTTTAGTCTCTATAGAATTAGGAAAGTCAGTTCGATAAATATTCCAAAGGTATTTTTCAACTATCGACCAAACTCTCGCGCATCCGACAAATCCGCGAAAGTCACTTGTCGGAGGAGAGAGAGAGAGAGGATAATGGATGGAATATAAAGACTTTATCGTCCGCGTGCCAACTTCGCCAAGTGGAAGTCAGAATTTTAATATTAAAAAACTTGGAAAATATGACGAATTGTATTGAAAATTAACACTGCGTGGTAACTCAAACACACGGCTGTTCGTAGAAGAAGTGACATTGAAAGTAACGTAAAAAACCGGAACTAGAGTCATAAAATTAAATTTGCGATTCAACAAACCTAAAGTTTTTAGCCAACCGGGGAGAGATAAAAATATTTAATCGTTCTAATCATACGAAGTACTTACGTGCATAAAATCCGTTTTTAAATTCTGCGATATAACTCGATAAAATATTTTCTCGTCAATTATTTTTTAGTGTCATCATGATAATAATAATAAATATATTAAAGTTGCAGACGCGCGCAAAACAACGACGAAAGTTTGCGAATGTCATGTATATGACTTGCCGATTTTATATTTCTCGTGGGAAATGGTGTGAAAATTAAAGAAAGCACTGACTCACCCCTGCCTCGCAGTGACCGGGCGTGTAAGAAGCGGCGATATCTGAAAGTAGAAAGCCGGAATTAGCGTAGGGTGATTAAACAATCGTGCGCTTCGCTCTATGTGGAATAGAATTGGGTCGGAGAGGCGCGGTCGCGCTAAATCCGAGTGTTCTGTATAATACTACCTGTATTTTATAGCAACTGTATGACATATTTATACAACTGTATACATTCGTATGTGTGCGCAATCCGTGTGAGCGAAAACAACCATTGACTCGTCCCCCCGAGTCGTTTCCCATTGTTGGGAATAAAGAGCTTTTTATCAACGTACGAACACAAACCGGCAAAATCGCGCGATCGATACTTCCGCCTACAATCGCATGATGGAATTTTATATGTGGCAAAACTCTTTCCTGCAGCGTTGCTGCTATTTGTCTCCGTGTAAGCGCGCGAATGCGGGAAAAGGATCTAGCACACAACTATCGAACGTTGAGTCGAACTTGTCAAATTTTATTTCGACTCTCTCATGAGCAATTTTATCCCGCGCCAGGAGACAACTCGTTTTATATATTCGTCACAATGCGCGCGAGCCAAAATGCTTTTTTTCTCCTTTTTTTTCAAGAGTATAGCGCTTCGGATACTCGTCGATATATCGAGAACAACGTTACGCGTTGTTCGAGACCGAAACACACGTAGATGTACGAAAAATAAAAATAAACTCTCGAAAGCGAAGAAAAAAACTACGTTCATAAAAACACACTCACGTGTTGAAAATCTTTTTATACGCGGTAACGCTTTGAGAGTTTTTCATATTTTTGATTCATCTCTCGGTTTGCTTTTAATTATGCAAAATCTATTTCCTTACCGTTAAACAAATGCAAAAGTATTTTTTTTTTTTCTTGTTTTCATTCTTTCTTTGACGCTTTGATTGTATTTTTCTATCTGCATACGAAGATCGCAAGAAACGCAGTTTTATTTCCTTTGCTTTTAGTAATTAATTTCAAGAGAAGCTTTTTTTACACAAAGATAAACGTTAAAAGCTGGCAACGACGAGAAACTCGCGATGCGGTGGAAAATAATGCAATGTAAAAAAAAAAAAAGGTTGCAGCGGAAAAGTTTGCCGAAAGATTTTCGCAGTCGAGAGAAAGTGCATGATATCTATGCGACATGTGTAAACGAAACGTAAAAGCTCGCGCACGCGGAGTTCAGAGGTCGACGGAGGCCACACTTTGTTGTTCGATGTAACGATATTAGAAGTGTGTGCGCGCGCGGTATTTAATAATATCGCTGGGCAATTTGTGGAATCTGATTTTATATATTTCATCGTCGCGAGCACATATTTGGTTTGTCGTCGTCGTGTGTTGGTTTTTTATAAAGCTCTTTCGTCGTCTTTGTACGATCTGAGAATAAAAGCGCGTTCGAATATATAAATTATTTTAAAAGTGTAAACTCTCTCTCTTTTTGCGACAGAAATTGACAGAATCTGACGGTCGATCTTGTGGTTGTCACGAGCATTTTTTTGAAACCGGAATTTGTGAAGATAAAAAACGAACGACGTTTTAAAAATTTTCATTACAACACGGCGCGCTATTGAAAAATACAGAGACGCAACGCTCTGATAAAGATGAATAAAAAGTGATACGGGACGAGACGGGAGGAGAAGGTCGTAACTCTCGCACTCTCTCCGCGCGAAATTCTTTACGGGATCGCGGAAAAAAAACGTGCGAAGTTTCGCGCAAAGGTAAGCGACAAACTTTTTCACGACGATGAAAAATTTTCCGAGCGCATACTTGTGCGCTAAGTCCCTCCCGGATATCGAATCTCTCGCGTTTCCAACGAAGTAGTCGCGAAACTTTTCTACTTTGCTGTATGTCGAGAGGTTTCTCAAACGTTATTCGGTAGCTCCTTCACTTAATCCGATATCTCTCCATTCCCCGCTTATGAACTGTGCCGCGCGCGCGCGCGCGAGACGCATGACAAGCGTCGCGACAATAACGCGTTGCGGCACGCTTGAACTTGCGCATGAAATATTTCAAAAGCGCTCGCCGCGCTGTGCGAGATCTCAAAAACATGTATTTATTATTTTTCCTTCGCGCACATATCTCTCTCAAAGAGTTATTTAAGCAAAAATTTTTATTTCCTTCGCATGAGATCTATCTCTACCGAGATTATATTTGCATTGTTTAATAAAAGTGTCAATAGTATATTTGCGTTCCACATAGATAACGAAATTAGGCAGAAGAAGTATTTTTTTTTTTAACAAACTCGAAAAGATTATGATTAATTAATCGTTAATTAAAAATTCACGAAACAATAGATAGATGTGGAACTTTCATATATTAATGAGATGGCGTCTCGCGTGTATTGTTTGTTGAGTTTCTAAAGACGTTGTAACAATACTCTCTCGATCGAGATCGCGGGCACATCCCCGCGGGGGCTCTTGTTAATGAATATAAATTAATTGCGCCTCTCACGCTTTTCCCTTATACGCGGCGCTCTATCGAGTGTGCTATTTTCCCGAGTTGGGTACGTGGTTTCTTTCACGTATACATATATATATAAATGTCCACGCTAAAAAGGGATATAGAGAAAGGAAAATAAAAATCTCCATATTTCTCCGCGATGGAGGCAAACGACACGCGAGCGGTGACAAATGTCGCGCGAATGGCCGGTTAGTCAACAACATCGATCTTCCTGTACCGCAGATTGTGCCGTGCTCTCCTCCTCGATGCGGAGTGAAACGACGAGTAAACGACCATAAATCCCAGACCGAGAACGATCGCCTTCTCAGTGTCGGATTTACCTTCGCCGCGGAAGCGAATCCTTGACTTTATCCGCGACAGAGGATGCCACGGCGCTCCCACGCTTGTCGGAGAGAAATATATATATATATATATATTATATATATATATGCAAGATCGCCCCCGTAATTATCGGCCACCAAGCGCGGATGAGCAGCGTCGATACTAAGATATGGAAAAATAATAAATAAAAAAATATTGAGTAATCCCGCGGTACAATGGAGATTAATCGTTTGTCCACCGCGCGTCGACGATCATCGCTGCGAGGACGCGCAAATGCCATTTTGCCGATTGTATTCTCATGCTCTCATCGATTCTTTAGACACTAGACTGTGGAGGAACGGTAAAAAGAGAAAACGACAACGACGACGACGACGACGACGACGACGACTTGCAAGCCCGCGAGGAATTTTTATTTCGTCGATTTATTGCGCGAATGAATTGATTCATCGAGGAAAAACAAATCGCGCGAGAAAGACATATTGTATATATTGTAAAATAAATTTGTTCTCGTGTGTGTAATATATTTCAATTGATATTTGACGTTGCAAACAAACGCGAGAATGTCTTTGCAAAAATTAATTTACTTGTTTGAAAGAAAAAAGGACACGTACTTGTACAACGCACAAACAGACATTTTGCTACTAATTGTTATTTAATTCCAACAAAACGAATCTTTTTTTTTTTTTGGAAACACGATGTAGCTTGTATTTCGTAATCAGAGTGTTCGGTCAAAACTTTTGCGCGCAGTACATGCGGGATTGTTGGTCTTCCTCTGGGATTGGTCGGAGTTAAGTATTGTTGTCGGCTTATCAAAATCGCGCGCATCTGTGCGCGGGGATGTCTCAATGGGGAGAGAGAGAGAGAGAGCAGAAGAAGTGTTTCAACTATATAATACTTACATAGAAACAGACAGATCACGAGGCGTAACATGGTTGGCGCGGACCGTCAGTCACGACTCTGTAACATCAGGGAAGAATTTATGAACAAGGCGATAATATCGACATAATGTTCTCTCTTCTCGCACACAAACACAAAGTAATTCTTTTTTTTTAATCAATGAAACGAAACCACAAACAAAAGATCGCTCTTAATATGTGTGTGCGCAAACATATATGAAATAATAGAAATATTGAATTTTTTCTCTCTTGTGAACCAGATAAGGTGTCAAGCGCAACGGTAACCAAACAACAAAACGCTGTGTGTGTGTATATGAAAGTTCCCCCTCCGCGAAATATACCCGCCTTCAAGAGCAGAAATCTAATTAAGCGATAATTGTTCGAGAAGCGCGGCTCTCGTTTCGGAATAGAATCCCCGCGGGCAATATCGGTCTGTCGGTCGGTGAAGTAATAAAGCGAAGATAAGAGAAGGCGGTCACGTAGCTGAAATTTCAGGAGGAGAAACGCGCGTGCAAAGCTTCGATTCGAACAGAACCGAAGACGAAATAACTTGTTCTCTCGAATCGAATGAACGAGAATGAAGAATTAGTCGTGATATAAATATGCGGAGCGCTATTGCGCAACGCGGAGCCGCTGTTCTAATCTGATCTCTGTTGCAGCGATACACCTGTCAACATTACGCAAGAGATTATCGACTTCAATTTCGATCATTCGGCAAATGAACATTTAAGCAACGTATTAACATTAATGTACTAACATTTTTTATTTAATAATGTACAATTTTTTATGACGTTTGATGTTTTTTCACATTGTATAAAATACTTATCTTCATTTTCTTCAAAAAAAAAAAAAACCTATTTTGACAGTTTTGCCAGAAAAAATATTTTTCGAATAATTTTTATTAAAAAAATAGAATAGTGTCAGTTTATACAATTTCAAAAAACTTCTATTTTCCATATTATATATTTTCTAACTCGTTAAACGCAAAAAAAGATCTAACATTATCACTTTCAACGTACAACGGGGTTGCGTCATTTACGGACAAGTGTTCGCAATGAATGCATGTAATTGCAATTTGCGCGTATGATTCACTTACGCCCAAACCTATGCAGTTTACCGATTGATATTCACTGAACAGATCGGTGAATCGAGAATTACGTATTACCGGTCTCCTCTACACCGAGACAGTCATTATTATCGATATAATCGTATCCTTCTCACGCGAAATGATACAATCGCAGCCTGCGGCTAGGTCGACGGCTTTATGGGTAAAGCTCGTCAATAGGGAGAACTTCGATTCGCACACGTAATAATTTAATAATATCCGTTATTCAAGGTAAAACGTTGATTAATCGAATTAATTAAGATAAAGAAACGCTTCAAATTACTTATCTCTATTCAATTCGGTCTTTCGTGAATCTTTTTACGTTTGGTTGTAATTCCGAAAAACGTGGATATACCTGAGTTAATTAATAAAAATAATATACTATAACGCTACATGTATATAAATATTTATAGAATTATAAATATAAAAAAGTTCTACTTAGAGAGGAAAAAATATGCACGTTGTAATAAAAATGTAAATGCACATTATGATTAAATGTGTAAAATTAAAAAAAAAAATAAAACTTTTTTTAAAACAATTAAGAGATAATATTTTTATTAACATTATAAATGTAAATTGCACATTAAAAACTTTTGTAGTGTTTAATTTATAAAAATATTATTTCTCAATTATCTTATATGTGAGAATTTTTTCAACTCTTTTAAATTTTGGTTATTGAATGCGTATTTTTAATCTTTTACTATGCAATTTACATTAAAAAACAAAAAAATTACATTAAAAAAAAAAAAAAAAAAAAAATTTGCCGAAACCCGGGATCGAACCAGGGACATTTAGATCTTCAGTCTAACGCTCTCCCAACTGAGCTATTTCGGCTCGAGTATCCCACCGTCTCGGGGACTATCATAAGACGATCGTTCTCTGCGCTTCCTAGAGGTTGCAGGTTCTTGGGAAAAAAAAAAAAAAACAACTGTTGAAATCGAACCAGGAACATTTAGGTCTTCGATCTGACGCTCTTCTCCCAACTGAGCTATCATTCGACTCCGCAAGAAGCATAGCGAATGACCGTCTCACGATCGTCCCTGAGGTGATGGAGATATCCCTGAGCTGAAATAGCTCAAGCAGGAAAGCATTAGACCGAAACCCTAAATGTCCCAAGAAAGGAAAAATGAGTCTATTGTTCTTCTAAATGATCTAATCCGACTTGTGATTATACGTTTCGCAAACATTAAAATGATACGTAATTATGTTATCAACAAAGTTATGTTAATTAACTAAAAAAAAAAACTTAGTTGTATGTGTAATATACATGTAATCAAAATTGATATTAAAATAACGAGCGGACTACAATTTATTGTGCCTGCTAAATAAACAGGTGATTACACAATCATTTCTCAATGATGATGGAAATTTCGTGTATATAAATTTCATATTCAATACACGAACAAAATGCGCGCAAAATGGAACTGTACTGTATTGCAAAAAATGTTACAATTTAATTACCAAATGAGCGTCATACAAAATTAATTTTAAAACACACAGAAATATCTTCCGATCGGTAGCCGGACATAACGCGGAATGAAAAAATTATTTCAATAATTCTTTGCTTTCTTTTCGCCACCACAACCGTTGCCTGCCCCCCAATTTTTTTCGTCCGGAGAAGATCTCTAAATTACCGTGGAAATCGTTAGATGGGCGTCTTATTTCCAATGCAATTTAAGCAAAGTCCAACGACGCGATCACGACAAACGTCGTAATGACGTACTTTCACCGCGAACGAAGAAGACGAAGAAGAAAAACTAATCTTCTCTTTTCGGTCGTCAAACATCTGTAGATACATCCATCTGGGGGAGGAGCCTTTCGTCGATATCGTCGGGGACGACTCCACGTTGGAAATTCCACGGAAATCGTAGCGAATCAATCAAATTCCCCGGACGGGAAACCTCAGGGAAGTCTCGAGTAGGAGCTGATGCTGCCGCATTAGGAGAGGCAGAAAGGAAAATTGGAGATGTGGAGCAACAACTGATCAATTTCTATTCGAACGTGACGACGGAATCTTACGGGTAAGGTTGTAAAAAGAAAGCGACTTCCCCCCCAGACACAAAGAAAACGTTCGCGGCGAAGAGAGAAAATTAGCCACCCAAGCTCAAGGAGGCAACATTTCTTTCGGGGTCGCGCGGGCTTGTTCGTTTACCTCCGTATATGTGTGCGAAGTTCATGTTCACGTTCAAGTTGATGTACGAACAACTTGCGCGCGCGTTGTTACGTCTCTTTGGAGGCAATTTAAGTGTCTCGTTACCATATATATATATCAAAGGAAAACTGTGTTCAGACAAGTTGTAAAGAGCGCGGCAACAAAACGTATTCTCTATATTGTTATTATTACAAAGTGCGATACGTTGCGGTGATTTAGATGCGATAACGATAAACTACTCGCTGACAAGAAATTTGCATTTTCACCGCACGAAAGTGCGCGTGCGCGCCATTCATCTCAAAAAAAATCGCGACCCGACGGTAAGTACGAGCTGCTGCACGTATGCGCATCGCGAATCGAATACGTAACCCCTGTGTGTATCTTCTTCCTAGGAAGAAGATCGCGCACGACATCAAACCACACATCGCAGGACCGGAATGAAAGTTTTTACTTTCGTTCGATGTGATATTAAAGCGCCCGTGAGAGAGAGAGAGAGAGAGAGCATCACCGCGCGAAAAAAAAGCGCGGGTTGCGCGATGAAAATCCCGCAAGGCAAGGGAAGAGGATGAAACGCATGTGTGTATTGGCTCTTCGAGCACCGGTCGAGGAAATGCGGAGCGATTAATGAACTTTTTTTTTTTTTTTTTTTTTACGGGAAAGAAAGTGAGAAACGAGCACCGGTTTGAGAGAAGCCGTCCGTTTGAGCGACTCAAAGTCGCTCTCTGGAGTTCAATCGCTTTCTCTATCGTAAATTATATTAGTACGGTCGATATGTGGTTTTTCAAGGCGTATAATTAATATTTAACTGTGAATGTTTCAAATATATTGGCCTTTTGGTAAGGACTGACTCCGAACGTGTGCAAGTTAAATAATTCCTTTTCAACGCGATGCACGCGCGCTGCATCTTGAACCAGCAGGCGCACCACCCCACCGCGGCAGCTTTTATTTTTTTTTCCTAACGTGCACCGTATCGAAAAATTCGAGCTATTATTTGCGCCGCTCTCTCTCTCTCTCTCTTGTTTTCATTATTCAATGGCGCGGGCGGCGAAGTTTATCGTGTCGCTTCTCTCATTAAAAAAAGTCGCGAGGTGCACTCCGCCTCGTGACATCGTCACGTATCGCGATAAAATTGGCGCAAAATTGCCACGTAAGCGGAAGAAACGTCGCAGTTATTGTCGAGCGCACCAGTGGTTGACCTTTAAATATGAAAAGCCTCCGGTACCGACGCTTCGCCTCAACTTTCACCTTTCCGCGTATAAACGAAGACGAGCTCGTGCGGGATCATCCTTGAGAACGTTTCTTGCTGTGAGCGAAAACACTTTCGTGTCGTTTCTTTCTCTCTCTCTCTCTCTCTCTCTCTCTCTCTCTGTGAAGTCATGCTCGTGGTTCTCTTTGTGCGCAGTCGTATATACATATTTCGCGAAATAACTGAAATAATATCAACGTGCTATATCATTGCTATTCTGCCGAATTGCGAAGCGTGCATGCGAACGGTGTCGCACAATCGTTTGCATTTGACAGCGTGTTTCGCGCACACATACGTGTTCCCGCACTGCAAATCAATAAAATAAAAGCACAAAAAAAAAACCATTTCAGCAAGTCAAAATGAATTTATTTGTAGAAAATTTGTCCATAAGAGACAAATTAAAATTCACACGTGTGTGTTAGGCGTATACTTTTATTGTAAACAATAAATAGTTATAACGTACAATAAAAGACACATACAATAATGGCGGCGCGCGTCGATCAATCAATTGTCACATTAATCAGTCAATCTATTCATTATTTTTTTACTAATTATTTT